GGGAATCTAAAAGATGCCTCTGAGGATTTCATACGCCCTGTGTTAACCTACCAAAGAACGAGCTCAAAAACCAAAAACCTCATTGAAAACTCGGTGATGAGACTTACTGAGAACCAGCACGGGGGCCTGCATTGTGACGAAGCAGACTGTACTGGAACGCTACGAAGCCGGAGTGGAGAAGGGGCAACGATCGATCGCAACTACGCAGCTTGAGCTTGACTGGCGAGCTAAATGAGAAAATAGGGTTTAGGCAGCAGCTTAACGGAGGCAGAGCAACAAATAACTTCTTTGATTTCTTCGAGGGCAGGGTGAAGAAGGCGTGCATGCGACCACATTCAGCCCCTAAGACCGTACCTTCGGTCCATGGTCAAAGGACTCGCTTGATGATGCCGTAGGCGATCCGTTTCGTCAGTCTTGGAAATTCTTCTTTTCTTCATTCTTATTAATGGGGTTACCAACACGGTTACAATAGATATATATATATATATATATATATATATATATCAAATATGAAATAGAATCCCATAAAAAAAAGGATCGGAAAATAAATAAATATAAATTCTTTATTGGTTAGAATAAAGATGACATTTGGATTATTTTTGTGTGTGTGTGTATGGATATATATATATATATATATATATATTAGTAGAAACCCATGCCATTGGGCACGGGAAAGCTATAAAATTTTAATTTGACGTTGCTATGTTGAAAATTGACCACTCCTAAATATATAAAATGGATAAATATATGGTATGTTAGTATTATTTAAAACATATTATCAAAAACCAAGGAAGTGGTTATAAATATATAATCTACTATTATTAGTCAAGGTTCTGTAAACCACAAAAATTATTCTTTTATGCATTTTCTTTTTTATATTGATACTTGAATATATATATATATATATATATATATATATATAATCAAATTCAATAAACATCAATTCTTGTATATATCTATTTCATGTTCTTCATTATCTAAACTTTATCTATATTTCCACTCTTTAGTTATTTTAATATGTGATGTATTTAAAAAAGTGGATTTAACTGATATTAGACAAATAGGTTCATTTATTTCTTTCTTGAAAATTGTACAACTATTTTAAAAAATTTCTTTTGTAATAAATCTAAATCTGAGTTTAAATATGTAATAATTTTTTTAACATGTTTTGGGTTACATAACAAACAATATTGTTATTCTCTATTCTTTATATCAATATATATAATATCATATTTTATACAATTTTAAAATATCATATATTAGATTTTTAAAATGAGTAGTAAGATAATAATTGTATGATGAATTGTAAAGTAATTAGTAGCTGCACTGCTCACTGTAAATTACATCTTAAATAGTATAGCTGTAAATGTAAAAGTTTTATCATTTTAAAAGACAAATAAAGAAGTAAAATAAGATAAATAATAGAAAGCTACTAAAAAGACAAATGTTGGATCAAATACATGACTTTAAGATCTTTATATAATACAAATGAGAAACAAATTTAAAAGATTATATTACAAACATTGCTTTGATTTGATCATTTATTTTTTTGAAAAAAAAAAAGAATATAGAGAATTAAAATCCATTGTTGAAAAGTACAAATGTCCTTGTCCAACATGCAAGTATCAAATATCATCTAAAAATCATTTTTCCCTCATCCAAATAATTTAGAATACAAAGTTTGTTTATGAAAGGTTCTCTTAAAGCACGTTGCCTCACAGTAAATAACCTCAAGTTTTCACTTGGATGAATGAATTAATCAAATAAAAAAAATAAACAAATAAAAATTTATGGACGCATGATAAGGATCAATGGATATAAATATTTGACATGTATGAATAGCTTCAACAATGTCTAGGTGTATGCCAAAGGAGAGCCAAAATCTATTCCTACATTCATTAATAATTGTCTTTGAGATTTTTTAATGATTATTGCAAATTCCAGCTTTATTAGAAATTACCTTTGGTGAAACTTAAATAAAATCTTAGATGATGGTCATAATAAAATCCTTGAAAGAAAAGCCAATTGTCTCTTATAGTCTCCACATTAAAGTCTTGCCTATATAATTTGATTAAGTAATAACTAAGCATGATCTATTGCAAAGTCCTTGATGTAGAGCAATGTATTGTAATATTTTAATAGGACATTTAATCTTTAGTTACTAATTAAATAGTAGTAATTTAAAACAACTTAAGCTATTTATATACTTAGTTGAAAAAAATTACAATTGTCAACACCATCTTTTAAAATTTATACTTTTATGCTTAGATAAATACTAATATGTCTAATCTTAATTTATTTTTATTTTATTTTATTACTAATTTAAATATAAAATATTTAAAAATAATTTAATAATTTATTAAATTAATATATATATATATATATATTTATATATTCATAAAAATCAAGGTCATTGTATATTGTTGTCTTTAGTACATCCATCCATTACCTCATTTATCTATACTCCATTGTTTTTAAGTTCATTTTTTTTCATGCTTTTACATTTTCATATTCCCTTATTCTCATGTTTTCTAATTTTTATGTTATTTCATTTTAATATTTGTTCTTATATTCCTTAAGTTTTTAACATTTTTTTTATACAACCAATCATAAGACTTTTTGGTCTCTTTATATTATATCCAAATTATCTTATATATTTTTATTATTTTTATTAAATTTTAAATTAAATGATTTTATTATAAAACATTGGTGAAAGGTTATTTATGACAAAAAAGTTGAAATAATAAATGTAAATATTATTATATATGAAAAAGTTGTGCTTAAATAGTATTAAATTTTTTCAATAAATATAATATAAGTTTTATATTGTAATTTTATCAATTTAAAATGACTCATTTGAAGATTTATTCTTTGAATTTGAAGATAAAAATCATCTAACAAAGCTAAGAAGTTGGCTAGAGTTGTAATTTTGTACCCCGTCAACTTCAAAGTTGGATGTGGTCTTGATTACATCTTAGTTACAAACTATCTTTTAGTAACCATAAAATTTCATAAAGAAATAGTAAATTTGCTTAATTACTTGCTTGATATCCTTAATACATGCTTAAGGTGCTTACAATGCATACATGTGGTTCCTTGCTTTATGATTGAATTCTAATAATATTCTTTAAAAAAGGATATAACAAATTAACAAATCTCATATTTTTCCAACTTATGAAGCTTTTGGTTGGTTGAAATAGATAAAAGCAAGATCAAATTTGACAATTTTTGTAAGAATGAATCTTTATGCAATGAATGAATTGTCTTTAAAAAAAAAAAAAAAAAAAAAAAAAAAACTCAAAATAAAGATGAAGGTCACAATGAAGAACTATTTTAAGCTTTTAGCTTAAAAAATATCAAGAATAAAAAATTAATAAAAATAAATTAATAATTGAGATTTTTTTCAAAAAAATATGACAAAGTTTATATATATATATTATATTGAAAATAAAACTAAGATGGCTATTACCAAAGGACAAAAAAACTTAGAGACTCTTGAAACTAGACTAAAAACAAGCAAGGAATTGATAAGTGTGAAGAAGGCTCTATTCTTGCTTCTACATATGCTATCTAACTAAAAGATATGTTGTAACATTCTCTATGACATCTAACATATGTCCAATTTGCCAGACATATGTCTTTATTTGTAAGACAAGTTTCATATATGTGCGTAACATAGTTATATTGTATTACAAGCTACCAATACATATGACACGTGGCTAATTTAGTGGCCAAGTATTAACCCTATCAATCTCCTATAGATATGTATAAAGATGGAATTGTATCTACAAAGCTTCTAAGTAGTTTTATTATAAGATATTATCAAAAAAAAATTATCTAATTCTATCTATGTATTATATTAAAATAAATATTAGAATTAATATGTGTGTTTGTGATATTCTAGAAATAAATTCCATAAGATGCGGTAATGACATGTTGATAAATTCTAAGTTACAACAAATTATATTTATCACATATTTTGATCTTTATTCCCTTTAACGATAGTTGATAGGTCATTTCAACCATCAATAATATCCTATGCTAAGACAAAAATACCACCTTCATATTTGATTGTTGTTGGGACCTTTTATGATGGACATACAGATGTAAACTAATAATTACCTATATGATTTAGATAATAGTAGGTAAAAGTAGGTTAATTCTATAATATTTACTATAATAGCTTTCTAGAAGCTTTATAGATGGTGCTTTGACTTTATAGGTATCTATAATTGACTTTTTAGATTAGAAATATGATCAACAAGTTGGCCATGTGCCATGCATGTTGATAGCTTGAAGAACAAGCTAATTATATGGCCCACACATAGAAAACTTACTTTATAAGCTAAAGCATGTGTCTTCTAAACTCAATACATATTAAAAGTCATATAGAACATTGTCATATAGCTCCTAGTTAGATAGTATATATAAAGACAAGAGTGAAATCTTTTTCACTCTTATGAACTTATTTCTTGCTTCTAGTCTAGATTTAAGAGTTTTTAGTTTCCATGTCTTTTGGCAATAACTATTTCAATGTCTTTTTATTATACATACTATTTTATTATTATTTTGTAACTTTTCTTTTAATACATATTTTTTAGCTTTATGCATCTTCTTACAGTTCATGTTCTTGATAGATTGATAAAATAACTTTAATAATATTAAAGCTTTATCTTTTTTTAATTAAGAATATATATTTTTTTTTCTGGATAAGACATAAGTGTATTAGAAGTTACTTATTTCTCTCTTCTAAACTAATATTGTTTTTAATATCTTCTTTGATCTTAAGTCTTAAAGCATATTAGATATTTATTTTTTAAATATTATTATGGTAGAGCTTGTTGAAATGAAGAGTGCAATGGCACAAATGCAAGAGCAATTGAAGAAGTTAATATTTGCAATGCATCAACTTAGTTTACTACTCTAAAGAGCAACAAGAATGGCAAGAAGTGATGATATAGATATAATTGAAGCTGCTTCAATATGTGCATCGAATCATGTCCCTTCTTCTATGGTAGAACATCCTTCTAATATTAGAGAACTAAGAATTAATATGTCTGAAAAGTTTGATGGTACAAGATTTAAGTTTTGAGGATTTATCAATCAAGTACAACTTGTGATTGAACTTCAACCCAAAGCTATCCAAATCTAGGATCACAAGTTAGATTCATTGGTACACTTCTTTCAGGTTCAATATTATCGTAGTTTTCATCTTTTTTTGAATAATAAGATCCAATATTGGATAATTTAGAGGTTTTTTTTAGCAAAATTTTCATCCATAAATAG